GCACGCCCGCCCCGCGTGCGCGGTGCTCTCCGACGTGCTCGTCGTCGGCGCGAACCGCGGCCTGGGCCTGCAGCTCGCCTCTGTCCTGCACGCGCAGGGCGTGTCCCGCCTCGTGACGACATCGCGCGCGTCCTCCTCTACGCCGCCGACGCTGGCCGCGCTCTCGACGCGCACGCACGAGCTGGACGCCTTGGACCGCGCGCAAGTCACCTCGCTCATCTCCGCCGTGGCGCCGGCCGTGCTGATCTCGTGCGTGGGCGGCAGCGTGGACGACGCCTACTTCCCGGACTTCGACGCCAACAAGAACCTCATCGACGCCGCGATAGCCGCGGGTGTCACCCGCTTCGTGCTGGTGTCCGCGCTCGGCGCGGGAGACTCGGAGAATTCAGTCCCGTTCCAGGTCATGGACACCATGCGCCCGCTGTTGCTGGAGAAGAGCCGCGCCGAGGCGTACTTGAAGGAGAAGAAGATCAGTTGGACTATCGCTAGGCCTGGGCCGCTTGTGGATGAGCCGTCTACTGGGGGGGCCGTGGCGACGGAGGGGGTCAATTGTTATGGGACTGTGGCTAGGGAGGATGTTGCGCAGGTTTTGGCGAAGGCTGCCGAGAGTGACAAAGCGGACGGGAAGACGCTGCATGTTGTGGATCCGAAAAGGCTGCTGATTACGAGCCCGTATGTGAGACCGATGGAGTTTTGGGAACCAATGCCGTTTGAAGAGTTTGTGTTGTAGGTGCGCGACATTTTTGAGGTTGTATGTGTTTTGTAGAACCTTGCGAGTCGTAACAGGCATGCAGTTTTATTCTTTTTGCCTATACTGCACTGTACAACAGTTCAGGCGTGTCCAAGGTGGTCGACCTTTTCTTGTGCAGTGTGACACGACAGCTTGCGCAGCGGACACGACGGCATGGAATGAAACGTTCCACTGGTGATTCGCCGACTGCTTGTACATGGAGGGACGGTGAAAACGCGGGGTGCGCAGCTTGCTCTCACAATTTAGACTGCGCGCGTGATAGTCAATCTTGTTTGACAACACTCTCTACAGCGTCCTTCATGGCGTCCGCAACATACTGCACGGTGTCATCTGTGAGGCCGGCCATGCTTATCCTGCCGTTCGCCGTCATGTACACATGGTATTTTTCCCTCATAAACGTCACCTGCTGGCTCGTCAACCCCGTGTAACTAAACATACCGATCTGGCTCGTGATCCTGTCCCAATTGCCCGGCGTGGCATTCTTCTCCAACGCGGCTTTGAGCTTGACTCTCATATCCATAATGCGAGCCGACATCTTGACCAGCTCTCCCTCCCACTCTGCGAATAACTTTTCATCGCCCAGGATGGCGGCGGCCACCATCGCGCCATGCTTTGGCGGGCTGGAGTACATGGCGCGGATAGTGGCCTTGAGCTGCGAGCGCACGGCGTCCTCCGCACCAGCGCTCGAAGCCACGACGGACAGTGCGCCGACGCGCTCGCCGTACATGCCCATGTTCTTTGCATAGCTCTGCGCGACGAGCATGTCCAGGCCCGCGGCGACAAAAGTACGCACAGACCACGCGTCTGTCTCCAGGCTGCCCGAGGCGAAGCCCTGGTACGCATTGTCAAAGAACGGGACGAGCTTGCGTCGTTTGACGACGTCAAGGATCTGCAACCACTGCGGCTGCGTCGGGTCCGCGCCGGTGGGGTTGTGGGCGCAGCCGTGGAGCAGGATGATGGACCCTGCGGGGGCCTTGTCCAGGTCCTCCACGAGCGCGGCGATGTCGACGGCGCCCGTGCGCGGGTCCAGGTAGCGGTACTCTAGCGCGCGCGGCAGGCCGGCGGCCGGGATGACGTTGCGGTGGTTGGACCACGTCTGCTTGGGCACGTACACGCTTGTCGAGCTGGAGATGAAGTTGGCGACGAAGGCGAAGCCCACGCGCAGCGCGCCCGTGCCGGACAGGGCCTGCACGGTGGTGACGCGGCCGTCGGCCAGGGCCGGGCTGTCCGCGCCCAGGATCAGGCGGGCCGACGCGTCGCAGAACGACTGCAGCCCGTCCTGCGGCAGGTACTCGTGCGTGGCAGACGGGTCGTCGGCCAGCTGCTGCTCGACGCGGCGCACGACCGGCAGGACGTACGGCTTGTTGGAGGAGGTGCGGAAGGCACCGACGCCGAGGTTGACCTTGCGCGGGTCCGGATCGGCGCGAAACTGGGCCGTCAGGCCGAGAATGGCGTCCGGGGGCGCCGTCGGGACCGAGGAGAAGATGGAGGACATTTTGGTTGGATGGGTGTGGGGGGAGAGGAGTTATCGATGAGTGTGTAGAAGGAGGTTTCGATAAGTGTGAAGTGTGAAGAGAAGGAGGAGAGAATGGAAGGGTTTTGGTTGATCTTTTTGACTTGACAGGATCAGTTGAGTTGGTGGACGACTTCCAAAAGCGCACGTGTCGTTCCTCCATTGGCCCCCATGTGGAACAAGCGTCACTGTAAATCTCGGCAAGAGGATCCCCAGACACACATGTCACCCCTTCATTGGCCGTATGGCCTGAACGCCATCCGCGGATCGTGTGCTCCCAGGAGGACGGTCGGCGTGTAAAGGAGACCCTGAAACTGGGGCAAGCGGACGCGATGGAGGGATTGCGGAGGCCATGATGCCATCGCCAGATCCATCAGCACAACCCGACCTCAAGCCCCCCTTTCCCCGCACCGCCCCGGCCACCGCGTAACCACGTCCCCATTCTCGCATGCGTCTAACCATGACCCCGCCGCTCCCGGCCTTCTGCTCGCCGTGCCTGCCGCTGCGGCGCGCGGCGCTAGGCCATTCGCGCGGGCTGTGCGCGCGGCCGTCGTTCCTGGCGCGCCACCATGGCGCGCACGGCGCGGCGCGGGCGGTTGGTGTGGGCGCCGCAGAGCGTGCCGGCGGCGCCGGCGCCGATCCGTGCGGTGCAGGCGCCGCTCGCGCGCGCGCAGAAGATGGACGGCAAGGCGACGGCGGCGGCCGTGCGTGGCGAAGTCGCGGCGGAGGTCGCGCGCTTGGTCGACGCGCACGGGGAGACGGCGCGCCCTGGGCTTGCCGTCGTCATCGTGGGGGAGAGGAAGGACAGCCAGACGTACGTACGCGCGAAGCGCCGCGCGTGCGAGGAGGTCGGCATCTCCTCGTTTGGTTTTGAGCTGCCCGAGGAGACCACGCAGGAGGCCCTGCAGGACGTCGTCAGGGAGCTTAATGCGAGGCAGGACGTGCATGGAATTCTGGTCCAGCTGCCGCTGCCGGAACATATTGACGATGAGAAGGTCCTGGATGGCATCGAGATTGGGAAGGATGTTGACGGGTTTCATCCATTGAACATTGGAAGGCTTTGTATGAGCGGGAGGACGCCGCCGTTGTTTGTGCCGTGCACGCCGAAGGGCTGTGTCGAGCTTATGGATCGGTATGGGGTGGATGTGGAAGGGAAGAATGTTGTGGTTATTGGACGGAGTAATATTGTGGGTCTGCCACTGGCTATGTTGCTGCTACATCGGAATGCGACTGTCACTATTTGTCACTCGCGGACGAGGGATACGAGCGCCAAAGTGAAGGAGGCTGATATCGTCGTTGCGGCGTGCGGGATCCCGAAGTTTGTCGACAAGTCATGGCTGAAGAAGGATGCCGTCGTCGTGGACGTCGGTATCAATGCCGTCGACGACCCGTCAAAGAAGAGGGGGTATCGCCTTGTCGGCGATGTCGATTACGAGGGCGCAGCAGAGGTCGCATCGTTTATTACCCCCGTACCTGGAGGTGTCGGTCCAATGACCATTGCTATGCTGCTCACTAACACTGTGGAGGCTTGCAAGCGCCATTTACCTGCCAAATAAGAGACCTGTCCGCGTCTGACGGTGTCGAATGCTACACACTTGGTACACACCTGGTACAATTACCGTTTTTCAGCGACGCGTCCCTTGCACATTCTTGCAGACTGACTTGCTGTATCAGAACCTCTCAGCTATCCTCTGGTCGTGTGTGATCAAGGTCATTCACCGCCTCGGACGAAATAGTGCCCATCTGCTTCCCCGCCATCTCGAAGAGCACTCTCCTTCCCCAAAATTTTTGTTGGTAAAACACAACGTGTACAGTTGGCCACGTATTCACATTCTCGTTCGCGCCCGACCAACCGCTACCACCAATCGAAGGCGATTGCCTCCTGCCGGTGCTTCTTAACTGGAATATACTGTACGTGGCTGACACAGGACTGGAGAGTTTCACCCTCAACATAACACTCTTGTCGCCCTGTGTGTCAGGGACTATGGGTTGTGTCGTGTATCGTGTATCTCTCAGCCCTTTCGGCAAAGAGAAGAATCGGGGAGCGGCAGCGGAAATGTGCGTGTAATGCCACCGCCCCAATTGGACACAAGAGGTCCATTTCTCATGACGTAGTCGATTCATATGATGAGGATTCATATTCATACGAGCTGGTCGATACTTCTTCGTTATCCTGTCGCTTGTCGAGATTCAACTGGCGCGTGGTCACAGGCACCATTTCAAAGCCTTGAGAAGGATACGAAGACAATGCCGATATTGTAATTTGGTTTTTACCGTCCGCCCCGCCCAGTCTCTCTTTTCCAGACACATCCTCTTTCGTCTCTGCAGCCACCAAACTCTCCGGCTCTTCTTCAACCTCCCCTCCCTCCTGCATTTTCTTTGCCCTTGCCTCCAACGCATCCAAGTCCCACTCCATTTCATGGCGTTCAATGGCGACTGCCAGCACCTCTTCTTGCAGCTTTTCCAGGACCGCATCCTCCACTGTCTGTATCCACACGCAATAGTCAATCAAGAACAAGTCGCAATGCAGCCGCAGCAGTTTATCGTCCTCAAACGCGTCCCTCACGTTAAGCAGCACGCGCAGAAGCCTCGAGCGAAGGACATTGACATCGCACCCCCCAACCAAAGCCTTCAAATCACGCAGCACGCATTCCGCCAGAGCGTAATTGCGGTACAGCGGATACGCCAAGGATCTTCGAAACGCGGCGACAATGGCGTCCCGCGGGCGCTTAAAGCTCTCCAAGAATGCCGTCGTGGCGCACACCCTCGACACAGTCCACGCGCTTTCCACACAAGGGTCCCCCAACGTGACGCGCCCGTCGTACAGCGCGGCGAACAACAATCCGGCAAGGTCGGCCTTCGCCGTTACATGGACGTGAGGCAAGTACTCGCGGCGCGGGAGCTTGAGCAGGGCGTCGACGTGTGGATCTGCGAGGGCGGCGGCGGCATCCGGGGGTGCGTAGCGGTAGTCGAGCACGTGCTGGAACTCGTGCTGCAGCAAGTAGTCGGCGATGTAATGCTGGCGGGAAAACTTGGCGTCCTCCGCGGCCTTCCGCAGCGACGGGCGGCGCCACACGGGGGTGGCGTCCGGGGCGGGCAGGTCGAGGATCTGGGCGACGTCGTCCGCGCGCACGGCGAAGACGCCCTCGTAGCGGGCGGCGAAGCCGTAGGTCGGGCGGCCGATGGTGAGCTCGCGCAGCGGCAGCTCCAGGCCGGCCGCGGAGCGCGCCGTCGGCGGCGGCGGCGACGGCTCGGCGGTAGACGAGGTGGACACGACCTCGATGGACGGCGGGCGGCGGTCCGGCGCGTGCGACACGAGCAGGGTCGAGAGCATGTCCAGGCGGGCGAAGTGCGGGTACGGCGCGACCTTGTGGAGGGTGACCGTGGCCACGCCCGTCTCGAGGGAGTAGGCCGTGTGCGACGGCGGCTGCGAAGGGTCGACAGAGCCGGGCAGGGAGACAGGGTGCTCGAAGCGCAGGTGCAGCAGGTAGGGCGAGGTGTAAAAGTGGAAGTGGTGCGAGTCTGCGGAAAGCTGCATGTCCTTTGGGCGGGAGTGCGGTGCGCGGATGGATACGATTAGGGTGCGCTCTGTCTGCTCGATGGAGAAGATGGGCGTTATCATGGTGGTGGTGGGCGGCTCGCCGCCTAGGAGCGGGGTGGCCGGAGGGGGGGGGGGGGGGAACGGCCGGGAGGAGGGGATGGGGAAACGAATGGGTTGGAGAGCCGGCGAAGAGTAGGCGATGTGTACTGCAAGGGGAGTAGGGAGAAGGTGAGGAGGTAGTGTGGGTATTGTCCAATGGTGTTCCGACAAGTCGTGCGGGGGGGGGCTAAAGGGCACGAACATGACGGTGCGGTAGCCGGGAAATGCGTGTTTGATCCTGTACTGTAAGGTGAATAGGGAGAAAGTGAGGAGGTAGTGTGGATATTGTCCAATGGCGTTCCGACAAGTCGTGCGGGGAGAGGGGCTAAAGGACTCGAACAAGACGGTGCGGTAGCCGGTAAATGCGTGTTTGATCCGTCGACGTCGGGGTGGTGGACCAGAGCGTGCGGGGCGAAGATATTGTCGAAACGTCTACGTGCCGCGCCAAGTGCTCCACCCTCACAGGCTGCTCATCTCCACGTGTAGCCGATCCATAGGCCACCGCCCCAGTCATCACCGCCGTTGTGAGAGCTGCCTGTCCTACATTCTTAACTCCCCAACGTTTGAGCTCGCGCACTACGCGTGCCGCCTCCGCCCTCTCGCCCCATTCCGCAGCCGACCCGCCTCGTCCTCCCCCCCACCGCCGTCGTTCCCCCCTCTGTTCATTTGGAAAAATACAAGCGCACGGCAGATGCAGGGATATGGAGCGCAGTGGATGCAG